CTGAATCTCAACAAGGATCCTCTTTCTGGACCCTCGGGGCACAACCAACTGCCCCGGGCGCCAGGACTGAGGCCACAGACCCCTTCACTGCTGGTACTGCCACATTCACTGCTGACCGCTGACCCTCCTGCACCCCCGACCCTCCTGCAACCCCCCTCATTTCACTTCTCACCCAGAGCTTCCCCCTCTTCCTCCTCCGCCTCCCTGATCCATCACCCATGGGTTCACGTGACCACCCACGGCTCCTCCTGTGACTTAGTGGATAAAAACAGGTGGAAAGCCCATTCTCCGAGCATTCTCCCAATACGCTGAGATCCTGCTTCCCGGCGATTGTCCCCAGTTTGGCTCAAATAAATGCACAAAAATTCCTTTCAGGTTTGAATGCTTCTGACGTTAACACCTTACAAGTGAGGGTGTCCCCTCCCCCATCCCCATCCCTACCCCCCACACCCCCGCCCCCAGAGCTGAGACGGGACCGGCTGTGTTTCCCTCAGATCTCGGACACGGGCCCCCTCCCTGTGTGGAGACTGGGCTTTGCCCTGATCCTTGTTTCTGCATCACATTAAACTAACCGGCTGGATCCTGAGCCAAAATCAATCGCAGCCCGAAGCCCTGAAATATTCATGTGCCGGAGCCCCGGAGGCGCGGGAGACGATGGACGGCGTCTGCAGGGGCTGCTCCCGCTGGCTCCCTCCCTCCGCTGCCCGGGGCCCCGGCTGGCCGTGCTCGCCAATGCCTGCGGGGAAGACAGCGGCCGGGCTGGAGGCTGGGGAGTCGCAGGGGGTTTGATGACAAACAGAATTACAGATGGGGGTGAAGAAGGACGAGGGCCAGTCCTGAGCTGTGCTCTGACCCAGTCTTCAGAGCTAAGCGGGAAATGACGTCATGGTATCGGCCAATTCCCAGACCGAGGCTGTCACAGCCCCCCCTACCCTCTCCAGGTCCCAGGGGTGCTGAGGAGCCCAGGATGTGGCCTCAGAGGGGAGTGGGGGCAGTGCTGGGGCCACATTCTGCTGAGGTCCACATGCCTTCTCGGTGCCTGTGGGCACCGTGCTGTTAACTGGCCCGCAGAACTGAAACCCTCACGTGTAGAACACGCTCGTGTGTGGGAGGGGGGGCTGTGTCCTCTCTCCCCTCGACCTCCAGCCTGTGTGTGAAGTGTCCGCTGCTGACCTTCATATTTCTGACGTGCATACTTGTCCATCTTCCTCACAGAGCACAGGCCGGGCTGCGGGCTCCATCCCCAGTGGGGGGCGTGCAGGAGGCAGCCAACCCATGGTTCTCTCATCATGATGTTCCTCTCTCTCCCCTCTCTCCCTCCCCATTCCTCTCTGAGGAATTAAAAACACTTTAAAAAACACTATGGCTGAAACCGGTTTGGCTCAATGGATAGAGCGCCGGCCTGCAGACTGAAAGGTGTCAGGTTCGATTCCGGTCAAGGGCGTGTACCTTCGTTTCGGGCATATCCCCGTTGGGGAATGTGCAGGAGGCAGCTATTTCTAGCTCTCTATCCTTCTCCCTTCCTCTCTGTAAAAAAAATCAATATTTTTTAAAAATAGATTTCTATTCATTTCAGAGAGGAAGGGAGAAGGAGAGAGAGACATTAAAGATGAGAGAGAAGCATCAGTCAACTGTCTCTGCACACCACTCACTGGGGATCAATCCCGAGAGCCGGGCAAGTGCCCTGACCGGGAATCAAAGCGGGCCATCCTGGTGTATAGGCCGATGTTCAACCACGGAGCCACACCGGCCGGGCTTTTTTCCAATTTATGCCTTTTACTTTTATTTGTTCCACTTGGAATCGGGACAGGAATTCCAATATTTGCTTCCGCCATGAGCATCCATTTGAACCTCCGTTCAACAAAAGGTGTGCTCTTCCTCCCGCTCCTCTGCGGGATCCTCCCTGCCAGCCCCACCCGACCGAACGAAGCCGACACCCGGGCACGTGACTGCCCAGCGGACGCCCAGGGGCAGCGGGCAGGGCAGGGCGGCTCCGCAGAGGAGGAAGAGCAGGCGTGTGCAGCGTCGTGCACTGTCCACACACCGCGGCCTCTGGACACCTTGCCTCCCACGGCTACGACACGCGTGGACACGTGCTGACCACCATCACCGTCACCTCAAACCTGAACCGAGTCTCAGAGTGACTGTCCTGACAGCTGAGACACAGCTCCAGACGGTGTGGCAGGTGTGTGGCAGGTGAAGGACAGTTGAGTCAGGTGACAGGTGAGTGACAGGTGACAGGTGTGCAGCAGGTGAGTGGCAGGTGAGTGACAGGTGACAAGGGTGCAGCAGGTGAGTGGCAGGTGTCCACTGTCTGTGAGGCTCTGGCCTAGCCACACTTCCCAGGACACAGGCCACTGGATTCCAGAGCCTGGGCTGGAGCATGTGGGAGGGTAGCTTCTTCGGAGACTAACACCTGCTCTGCTCATCCCCCTGTAGCCCTGACACGAGTGTCCACACAGAGACCATGGCAGACTCCACCACTGACTCCACGAGCTGTGGCACACAGACGCCCGTGATCACCACGCACTGCAATTAACTTGGTTTTTCATATTTGCACAGCCCCTGGGGCCCTTCCAGGCAGAGCGGCTTTAGGAATCATTTCTCAGGCTCCAAGGAACTCTCCGGAAGGCGTGACGGACCCGAGAATGCCGCTACGTCACCTCTTGCCTGGATCTGGGACCGCACAGAGCCCGCAGCCTCCGAAACACGGGCCCAGAGCCAGGCCACGGGGTGGGGCAGGTATGGTAGGCACAGAGGTCAGAGCGACCACAGAGGAGGCAGGACCGGAGCCCCGATTAGCAGGGACAGGAAGACGGGGATGAGGCTGCGGTTCAGCCTCGGGGCGAAGGCGGGGCCCTGCTCACCTGTCATACCTGCACAGAGCACCAACGACGCTCCACACGGCCAGATTCCTCCGGACTTTGCCGCAGGGTCCGGTTCGGGTGAGAATTCTCCTGCGGGTGCTCTCCTTGCTCGTTTCCTTCCCTCCCGTGGCACCTGTGTTTCTCACCAGCCGCGGGTTATTTACCAGGTACAAGATGGAGGCACGGGCCCCCGCTGTGCGATCACGGGGGAGGCGTGGGGAGAGACAGTATTTCACTCACTGAGGGTCAGAACGGCCTTTCTGACGCTGACCTCGTTCACTTTCATCACAAAACAAACACTCGCCTGCCCTCCGGTCCAGCCAGCTGGGCGGGCCGCCCGCCCTCAGGATGTTCACTGGTGAGAAGGGGAGGTCCTAGGCGTGAACGTGAGCAAGTCCCTTCCGGCCGTGACCTCCTGGTTCCTTCCTGAGGCAGTGACGGTGCACGGATGTCGTGTATTTAAGCCTGATAAACATAATTACTATCAACATCCAATTGATCCTTGATTACAATCAATTATATTTCTGAAACAATCAAGCATCCGACAATTAAAAGTAATTGATTCATTAGCACACCCCTTACTTGACAATTACACAAATGCATTATTTATGTAATTAGGCGCATTTACAGTTCATTATTCCGCGTTTTACGCCATTGTCACAAAGCTACCAAAACTAAGCGGCTTTCTTTCTAATCTTCCTTCCGGTAAGATCGAGGTCAGCGCTGAGGGGCCGGGCTGAGCGGAGTGGCCTGGAGGTACCATCACCTGATCCACCAAAAGCCCAGGAGAAGGTTGGCCCAAGGAGACCGGACTGACTCACCTCTGACCTCTGGAGAGGAAGGTGCGAGGGCCCAGGTTGCTGGGGTCCGATCATGTGCTCCCCCAGGTGAGCAGAATGATGACGTCATCGAGTAAAAGCCTGCACCCTGAGGAGGGGGGAGCAACGGAGAGAAACAAGAGGCCGGGTGACCCCGGTAGGCAGCCCGGCCTCACAGCCCCGGGATGGGGGTCCCCTGGGCCCCCGGGAAACAACACCAGGCAGGTGGACATGAGATGAGGTGGCAGGGGCACCGAGGGCCAAGGGCCGCGTGTGGGGGGCCGGACACCACCCCCGTTGGACCTGTCTGCAGCCGGGACCCTCCGCCCTGAGGCAGCCCCCCAGCGGCCACTGCATCTCTGAACCAAAATGAAACGCAGGTTTTGACAGAAACACACACATATTTTGTTCATTCGTGAATCTATCTATTTGGGAAGTCCTCGGGAGGTTTAAGAATCAGATGCATGTACATGTTAATGAGGCAGGTCTGTTACTAAAATACCGTTTTACGAAATTGGAAGAGAGCCCTTCGTCCCGGAGCTCACTGCACACAAGCCGTGCCCCCTCGGAGGCTCCCGGGACCCGGGTCTCCGGGCGGGCCCTCAGGTCAGTGACCTCTGAGGAGCTGGGGGCTGGAGACGGCAGGTGCACGAGAGCCACACGCCTTGAGGGGGCGCTCAGAGCCACGGAGCCCTCAGAGCCGCGGAGCCCTCGCACCTGGACTGCATGGCTCCTGTCGCAGCAGACCAGCGGCTCACGTGAGGCCCACCGCGGAGGGTGAGCGGGTGGCGTGGTCAGGCCGCGGCGGGCCCTCCGGCAGCCCTGGACGAGCCTCCGAGGGCACACCCCAGATGACAGCTCACCCGCCCGACACCCCTCGTGGTGCCGCCTCCTTTCACGGTGCCCTCACCGGCCTCCCTGCCACCCCGTCGGGCCTCAGGCCTCTGAGTGTCACAGGAGCTGGGATCTCACTGAATGGAGCCCGTGGACCCCGGGGCCAGCCCGCAGGGGGCTCAGGCGCCCGCACACACGGGGCAGCAGGCACCAGGCGACAAGAGTGAGAGACCCGCCCGTTTATTCCATTTTTATCTCAGGAGAAAGACGAGTTAACACCATGGAAATGAAGATTTTTTTTTTTTAAGTGAACAGGCCGTGCTGTCCCCGAAGGAGGGAGAAGGGCCGAGCCGGCGGCAGGCTCGGGCGGCAGCCGCCGGGTCCGGAGCCGAGGCCTCCGCTCGGCGAGGGGACGGTGCGGGCAGCTGCGCCGGCGCCCTCGCTGTCGTCCGCGGGGCAGGGTCGGGGGCTGCGGCCCGGGTCAGAGCAGGATGTGGTACTTGAGCGCGCGGGGCACCCTGTTGATCACCAGCCGCCCGTCGTAGCTCAGCGACGCGAAGAGCCAGGGGTCGGCCGAGGACCAGTCCACGGCGTACACGCTGTCCTCGTGCTCCTCGTACGTGGCAATGACACCGTCCTGCGGGGGCTCCTGGCTCCTGTGGGACCAGACACGTGTGAGCGAGGCAGGCCCAGCCCGTCGGCGCGGGGACCGTGGGAGCGTGTGGAGCCACCCCGTGGAGCCACGTTAGCCGCCAGCGCCTGTGCCTGCGGCCGGGACGGCAGGCGCTGGGTGATCGCCGAGGGGCCCGGGTTCCAGGGAACAGGGAACATCCGGGGGATGGAAACGCCGCCGACAAGCGAGGAGGAGACCCTGCCCGGGCCGCTGAGCTGCGGGACCTGGGCCCGGCCACTGCAGCGCAGTCCCGGCCCCGGGCGGTCCTGGCGGGACTGGGGAAGGGAGGGCGGTGCCGTGAGGGTGCCTCCCTTTAAGCTCTCCTTCTCAGGAAGCCTGCCAGGCACCCACGTGTGAGGGTGAGCACCCCGTCCCGGGTGCTAACTACCCCCGGCCCCAGCGGGGTCCCAGCACGTGCCGGAGGCCGCGCCTGGCCGGGCCCACGGTGCCGAGCAGAAAGGAGCCCCTACTTGTCCTCCGGGCGGCGCTCCTCCTGGTCACTCAGGTCCTCGTCGTCCACCAGGTGGCCGAAGGGCTCGGAGGAGATGGACACCATGTTGGAGAGGATGACCCTGCTGTCGCTGCTGCCCGTGAGGACCAGCTGGTCGTGCGAGTGGTTATAGCGGACGTTCCACACCCTGAGGGAGGGCACGGTGCTCACCAGGCGTCAGGGAGCCAGGGTCGCCCAGCACCCACCCCGAACTGCCCGGGCTGACGCTGGCAGTGCCCCTCAGCTATGCCCTCCATCCCAGGGGCACTGGGAGCATCTGAGCACATTCCTCCCTGACGTCCGAGCCAGCGCCTCCCTCCTTCCCCGAGTTCCCACCTCACAGACACTCTGGGAACAATAAGCTGTGTGCCCCTCCAACCCCCACCCCCCCACCCCCACCCCACCGCACCCCCACCCCACCCTGCCCGCGGGCACACCAGTGCGAGTGCTCCTCCAGGGCGGCCACGGGCTGCGTGACATTGCGCGTGTCCCAGAACTTGACCTTGCAGTCGTCCCCGCAGGTGGCCAGGTAGTACTGCTTGTTGGGGTTGAAGTCCAGGTCCCGCACCAGCTGCCCGTGGGCGTTCTCCATGCAGTAGATCTGACTGGGCAGATGCTCGAGCGTGAGGGGGGCCAGACCCGCAGCATCCGGCGCCCAGGCCCGGGCAGCCAGCCGGGCGCCTGCTCCCGGAGGCAGGGAGCCGGCGCCCCCCTCGGGCCCCGCCGCCGCCTCTCCGGCAGCACCGGGGGAGGGACGCTGGCCTGGCTGTCAGACGTGACGGGTCCCTGGGAACGAGGGGCAGGGGCCTGCGTCCGCCATGGAGCAGAGACACGGCTGGGCCAGACACAGGACGCGCCTGGGAAGCATGCGGTGAGGACCAGGACAGGACGGGGACGCAGAGCACGGGTCCCGGGCGAGGCGGGGGAGGGGCTCGAGAGGAAGGAGCTGCCAGGCAGGAGGCAGGGCGGTCGTGGCGGGATGCTGTCACCGCTCACACCACTCGGGCGACACCACAGGCACTTTCCCGCACGGGGCCAGCCTGCACGGGGCCTGCCCATTGCTCTGGGGCCTCCTGCTCGACCCCGCAGCTCTGCTCCCTTTGCAGAACGGTGACCCGAGGAGCAGCGTGGGGCCTGGGGCGGGGTCAGAGGGCACAGGCGCAGGGTGTGTAGGGGCCTCGGGACTCCCCGGGAAGCCGCCCACCCGGAAGGCAAGCCTGTCACCGGTGACAGCGTCGTCCCAGCTCAGTGACAAACGCCGTGTGCCGAGGGGACCGGCTGCTCTCAGAGGCTAGCAGGCTCTGTTGCCATGACAACAGCCGAGGCTCCATCACTTGCTAGCCTACTGGTCCCCACCTGGAACGGAAACCGCTCCTGCCTGTTCCCCCGGCACAGCAGGCTGCTGCCCCTCCTGAGGGAAACGGCAACCTGTCACCGACAGCACAGAAACGGTGGCCACGAACCTGCCACCAGGGCCACGGCTGCCCTCGTGGTCCCCACCCCAGGGGGCAGGAGCAGGCGGCGTCCCCGCAGCCCACCTTCCTCTCAGCAACCGCCAGAGCTGAGGGCCCACGTGCGGCTCCGAACAGCCCACGGAGCCCCAGCGGCCACGGCCACGGCCACGGCCACGACACACCAGCTCACAACAGGAGACCAACGCGATGCAGACAGACGAGCCACGTGCCCCAAACCCATCCGTTCCCTCGGCCTCGTGGGGGAGGCACAGGCGTGTCGCTACCTCATGCTCCGCGTGTCCCAGCCGCGGACGGCGGTGTCGTTGGCGGTGGCCAGCTGGGTGCAGTTGTGGTGCGGGCTCCAGCGCCCCGAGGTGAACCTCAGCTGCCCCTTGCCTTCCAGCGACGCCGAGCTGGCCAGCTGCGGGGAGGAGAGAAGGAAATGCACCCCAGCACAGAGCGGGGCGTCACCGAGACGATGGGGGGCGGGGGGGGGGGCAGGCTCGGCTCCGGAGAGACTGTGGAGCCCCGTCTGAGGAAATCCAAGCGCGGCAGGAGCAGAAGCGTGGTCAGGCCGCCACGGAGCAGGCTGCGGCTGAGGGGAGCTCCTCTGCTCCACGTGAAGGAACCGCGGGAAACGAGACACCTGGCCGCCCCCACAGGCAGAGGCAGGCGCGGGCCAGGGCCCCCGGGGTCCCTCCAGGCAGAGGGCACAGCTGCACCCCATCGCGTGTCTCAGTGCCCCGCCCCCAAATCCCAAATCTGTGCCTCGGAGGTGAACACGCCGCCGCCGGGCTGTGGGTCCTGCCGGTCCCAGCCCCTCCCCGATGATCACCGGGCTCATAGCTCAGGCAGGGCAAGCGGGGCACTCAGACAGGCAGGCCTGCGGCGCCCCGAGGAGCGAGGGGCAGTGCGGGGACCGGACTGGAACGGGGAGACCCCGCTCCCCTCCCGCTCAGACTCAGCACCCGGGCAGCCCCCCTGGCTCCTGCTGAGGGCGCTGGGCTTCGGCCACACGACCAGCCCGACTCCGGGCCAGGCGCGCCGGCGGCGGATGCAGGTGACGGGCTCCTGTCCACGCCCCCCCCCCCCCCCCCCCCGCACCCTTCTCTCCCTGTGGCTCGGTTTCCACTGGGAACTGAGAAATGTCTAAAAGCACTAGTACCCTTGGCACCACACTCCTCCCTCAAAGAGGCGCGCCCGCAGGTGGTGTGCCTTAGTGGTCAGCTCTGACCTATCAACCAGGAAGTCACCGTTCGATTCCCGGTCAGGGCACATGCCCAGTGTGGAGTATGCAGGAGGCAGCCGATCAATGATTCTCTCTCATCATGGATGTTTCTCTCTCTTTCCTTTCCTCTCTGGAATCAATGAAAACGTATTTTTTAAAAGGCGCCCCCGCCTCAGGTCCAGGCCCGGAGCGGGCTGCCGGCCGGGTTCCGGGCGGAGCTGCGGTGGCCGTGCGGCCGGAGGCGGCGCCGGGGCTGCCTCGCCCCCCGCCCCGGAAGGAGTGATTGTTCCCACAGCCGGCGAGGGCCCTGGAGCCGAGATGAATGAGCACAGATCACAGTGGGGGGAGGGGGCACCCCTCTGCCTTCACCGGGCTGGGCCCCGGCGGGCCACCCCAGGCCTCCCCGGGCTCCGCTAATGATTACAAATGGCAGGGAACCTCCAGCTTAATTGCAAAGGGTAATGATGCAGCCAGCCTGAGATTAGACTCACCGGCAGGCAATATCCTCCAACAATAAAAAAAATGGGGGAGCTGGGCGTGAAGACGCGGATCGATCAGGGTCTCGGTATTAAATGCCACGGCCCAGGGTCACAAAGTGATCCTGACAGAGTGCTGACGCGGAAGGAGAGGGGCCGAGAGCGCCAAATTGGTCTCCGCAGAAAGAAGTCACCGATCAATCACCAGCGCAGAGCGCCGCGGGGATGGGCCGGAGAGCGTGCGGGTGCCCACGGCGTGCAGGGCCGGGCTGAGCCCACAGCCCGAGCCCCCGTCACTGGCCACTGGGCTCCTCCTGCCGGGGCTCAAGGGGCCGCACCCACCCCTTCCGGACCAGCAGCGAGCTCGGCACCCACCGCCCGGCCTTCCACCCGGAGACACGCCGAGCCTGTCGCCCAGCCTGTGGGTCCCAGGACGCCTCTGTCTGATGACCCGCCCCGAGCTCTGTGCGTGGCGGAGCGAGAGGAGGTGTGCTGAGGGTCCGGCCTGGCCCAGCGTCATCTCCGCACTCGGGGAGCTGGGGAGGGCGTCTGCGCCATGAGAGGTGACCCAACCCCGAGGGGCAGGCTCGGGAGCAGGAGACACTGCACAGACGAGGCCGAGGGGCCACTGTCCATTCCTGGGTCCACGGCCACCTGAGCTCGGCCTGAGGCCTGACACTGAGCTGCTTCCCCCGACAGGGGTACCGCTCAGCGCTCTGTGGGTCATTCAACCCGCCCAGCAGCCACCTCCCCGTTAACGTCAGAATCCAAAGACATGAGCTACAAGTGCGCCGATCCCATCAGACTCTCTAGCCGACGCACTTGAGAAGTCGCATTGAGCCCTCAGACGCGGAAACGCCGGTCACGGCACCTACCAGGGCCCGGCTGGAGCTCTCCTGCAGGTCCCACAGCAGCAGGTGGTTGTCGGCCAGGGAGACGACCCTCTTCCCGTCGCCCGTGGGCTCCCACACGACGCTGTGGGGGAGCACATGTCAGCACCGAGGCCGGGGCCGAGCCTGCCTCCCGCCTGCGCCACACGGGCAGGCCCCCGGGACTCATGACGTCACCGGACGCAGCCCCCCCACATGGGGCCGGGCTCTGTACTGTGCCCGACCTGGGAACCACTGGCACTACAACAAGGACGCCAGCACCGCGCAGCCAGGCTGGGGGGGGGGGTGCCCGCAGCTCGGGAGGAGGCCCACAGCCGCAGGCTAGCCCCGCTGCACAGGGCCGGGCCCGGAACCTACCAGGCCACACTGCCGTGGGCCCCCGCGCCGTCCAGGTCACAGAGCAGCTCCAGGGCGTGGGCCGTGCTCGACGCCTCGTCGGGGGACTCGTGGCTGCCCGGCTCCGACTCCTCCGGCATCCTCCACACCGCGGCGCACGTCAGCACGCGGCTGTCTGTGACTGGGGACAGAGGGTGTCAGAGGCGGGTGCAGCCATCCGCAGACCCAGGTGGCCCATCGCCCGCAGGGCCCAGCAGCAAGCAGAAGGCCCTGCTCCCCTTAACCGCCTCTTCCGGGCTTGAAAAGCACGTCCCGTTCCAGAGCCAATTTAACTTCCTCCCGTTCTTCCTCTGTCCTTCTCCAAAAACAGCCAACAGGGCCGGGGAGCGGGCAGGTAACGGCCCCACGGCCGCGCGGGTCCGAGGCGGCGTCCATGGGCTTTGCTCGCAGCACACGAGCGCGTTCACCCTGGGCAGCTCCGTGTGCAGACAGGGCGTGGGCGCCTGAGACCCACTGGGCGGGGGTGAGCGGGACCTGCACACGGAGGCCCACGTGGTGCGCTCTGCTGCGCCCCGGAGGCCACGCCTCACACTGCCCCGCCAGCCCGTGGGCACAGGCTCCTGTGGCTCCTGCGGCTCCCGACCCTGAGATGCTCAGGGATCTGCGTGTCCTCCGAGCAGCTGGGCCGCTGTGTGAGAGACGGGGCGTGGGTGAGGAAGACGGGCCTGGGTTTCCGCGGACGTGCAGGCTCCAGGTCTCGGCCCGCGAGAACACGTCTCAGACAAAGGACATGAGGCTAACGTTATGTGATGAATGTTTGATCCTAAATTCCTAAATGTAAGCTCTTTCACATCACTTTCCAGTTAATTCTGCCTCCCATGCTCACTAGCACCTCCCTTCAGGGGAAGCCTGAGTGAGAGATGATAAAAGCACAGACAGGCATTAGGTCCACGCCCGGCCTCACGTGGAGCAGAGAGCTGTGGGCGAGGAAGAACGCTCCTCGGGGTATTTCCTGTGCAAAACATGAAAGAAACCCAGGGCCTGGCATGGCATTCGAAACGCCCGCTTCCTTCCAGCCACAATGGCCTTCGACCCAAATGCCAACCGATCAGCCAGGAAACAGGGCAGGGAGTACTCGGGCACACAGCTGCCTCCAGGGACCGCCAGCATCGCCGCCATCGCCGTCTCCCTCAGGCAGGTGAGAATCCGTCTCAGCCTCAGTCCACAGGCTCGCTGGGCTGAGCACGGTGGAACCGAGGCCGAGGGAGGAAGAATCCCAAGTGTCCCTCTGCGCCTGATGCTGACACTGCCGTCTCAGCTACGGAATGCACAATAGCTCTGTCTGCATAAGAAATTAATTGTTGCTGAAACTTTCAATTACACAGTCTTTTTATAGAGCCTGTGAGATTGGCAATGGCGCTCCTGCCTGTATGAGAATGAGGAAGAGAGCTGGCAACTGCGAGCCGGAAATAACCGAATGCCTGAGACACTCACCGACAGGCCAGACCGTGTTCATCTTCCTCAGCGACAGAGAGAAACGTGATCGGACAGGAAGGGACAAGTAACTGAGAACTAATTGTGGCTCCGCACAAAGGAAACGGAAGGCACAGGCGGCAAAGGTGCGGGCAGCAAACACGGCTCTTACTGGGAGGGGCTGCGCCCAGGTTCCCAACGCAGGTTCCTCCTGGGGGCATTCGGCTCCCTTCCTGAACCTCCTGTTCACCAGGCAAACGTAACAGTTGGGGGTGAGATGTTAAACACCTGCCCCTCGGGAAGTAATGCTGCATATTCCCATGGCCAGTTAGCATTCCTCTAGAGCTACATGTGACACGCCCAGGTGGCTCTACCCTAGAGCTACATGTGAAACGCCCAGTTAGCATTACCCTAGAGCTACATGTGAAACGCCCAGTTGGCTCTACCCTAGAGCTACATATGGCACGCCCAGTTAGCACTACCCTAGAGCTACATGTGAAACGCCCAGTTGGCTCTACTACCCTAGAGCTACATGTGGCACGCCCAGTTAGCATTACCCTAGAGCTACATATGACACGCCCAGTTAGCATTACTCTAGAGTTACATGACATGCCCAGATTGGCTCTACCCTAGAGCTACATGTGACATGCCCAGTTAGCATTCCTCTAGAGCTACATGTGACATGCCCAGTTAGCATTACCCTAGAGCTACATGTGACATGCCCAGTTAGCATTACCCTAGAGCTACATGTGACGTGCCCAGTTTGGCTCTACCCTATAAACACGCCCAGTTGGCTCTACCCTAGAGCTGCATTTACCACTCCCAGTCAGCACTGCACCAGAGGTCCTAACTACTTCACTATGGCAGGATAATAATTTTTTAAAAAATATATTTTATTGATTTTGTACAGAGAGGAAGGGAGAGAGATAGAGAGTTAGAAACATCAATGAGAGAGAGTCATCGATCAGCTGCCTCTTGCACACCCCCCACTGGGGATATGCCCGCAACCAATGTACATGCCCTTGACCGGAATCGAACCCGGGACCCTTCAGTCCCCAAGCCGACGCTCTATCCATTGAGCCAAACCAGTCTTGGCATGGCAGGATGATATTTGTGGAAAATTAGAGACATTCTACACTATGTTATTAGATATAAAATGGAAACTTCAGCAAAATTGCTGAACACAATGGTGCTATGTAGAAATTAATTGGCCACCTATAGGTTAGCAAAAAGTTTAGAACACAAAATCTTAATAAACACTAACAATCACATTAAAAATCAAGGATCCAATAATATCTGAAGCCAGCGGAGTGAGGTCGCGCGTGGCCAGCGAGGACGTGCCGGGGAAGGCGGCCTGCGGAGCTGGGCTCCTCGGCAGAACCCGCCAGCCGTGACCAACCCAGCAACCGGCTTCCGAATCCCACGTTTTCCGGAGGACGTGACCGCCCAGAGAGCAGCCGGTCACGAAGGAGACTGGGTGGGGGCTCCACCCTAACTCAGGTCAGCGTGACACCGGAGGGGACGAGGGCGGCAGCCGCGGGGCGGTCCCGGCTCTCCACACCGCAGCGCTGAGCGGCGATGCCGGAGGGCGGCACGTCCACGACACAAGCTCGCTCCCTGCCTCGCAGCGTGCTCCCACGCTGCTCCAGACTGAGGACCAGAACAGGAAGCAGAGCAGACACGGCTCATGTAGAACACACGGCGGCAGGTGCTCCCGCCTGGGCAGCCCAGCCGTCTCCGGCAGGAAGGAAGAACACCATCCCCGCGGAGACGGACCCAGGTCACTGGCCTCATCAAACTAAACCTGCTTCCCCCGGAAACACGTACAAACGAAGCAAACTGGGAGAACGTGCGCACACTTCTGCCTGGCGAAGGGCTCGCATCCAGAATGTATATATTTAACGCCTCTTACAACTTAAGACGAGTGGCCCAATTTCTAAAACTGGGCGGGAGAGTGCCAGCCGGCCTTGTCCAGGGGTTGAGCACGACCTAGGAACCAGGAGGTCCCGGTTGGATTCCCAATCGGGGCACAGGCAGGGTTGTGGGCTCCGTCCCCAGGAGGGGGCGTGCAGGAGGCAGCCGATCCAGGATTCTCTCTCATCATCGATGCTTCTCTCTCCCTCTCCCTCCTCTCTAAAGTCAGTAAGTAGGTTCTAACGGGCAGGACACTGAGCCCGACACTCCACACGGGAAACCACGGAGTGGCCAATGAGCAGACAAGGTGCTCCGCAGCCGAGGGGGCGGGACGCAGAGCCACGGTGAGCGCGCCCTCTGGGGTCGGGTTCCCTTGAGAAAGACCAGCAGCGCCAAGTTCTGGTGGCACAGAGCAGCGTCCTGGTGGTTCCGGGCGAGGGTGCCCGCACAGGCGAGCGGCGCGCACTCGGCAGCGGGCACCCACTGACCAGACGCCTGTGGCTCTCAGGAGAGCTGCACCCAGCGCAGCGCAGATCCCAGGAAGGATCACCTGGCTGGTGTGCCCCCTGCTCTGTGCCTGGCACCTCTCGTTTCACTTACATTCTCCCCCAAATCCCTTCACTTTCAATAAACCACCTCCGTCTCAACACTCAGAAACCAGGGCACTGGAAAGCCGCGTCGTACCCTCCTGCTCTGTGCCGCCTGCCTGCTCCGTGCCCTGGACGGTGGCTGCAGCCCATCCCCCCGGAGGGGTGCCTCGCTCCTGCTCCTGGCTCTGCCTGGGGCCATGGCACGCTTTGCCCACGGGTGTCAGCAGCTGCGAAACAGGCAGAGGCTTGGATCGCCCTTGCCCGGCCGAGCAGACTGTGCCGTTGCCATGGGAGCAGGGATGGAGAGCCACTGTTCCTGGGAGGATGGACCCAGCTGGCGACTGGAACTGAGCCAGACACGCCCCCGCCAACCAGCCAATCCCAGCCAACCGGAGACAGCGAAATGCTCTGAGCTCCGAGCCCTGTGGTGTTCGTAGGCAGCAGTCGGCTGACCTATAGCACCATGTGGCCCTAAGGCACGCCATACGTGCAGGCTCCTAACTACCGTGTGGCCCCAAGGCCAACGTGCAGGCTACCATCATGTGGCCACTAACTAAAGTCACACATGTGTGCTACTATCATGTAGCCACTACCTATAATCACGTGTATGCTATCATCATAGTCACTGACTGTAATCACACGTGGGGCTACCATCACAGTCATTAACTGTGATCACACGTGTGCACCATCACGCCACTGGAGGCCCTGAGGCCCTGAGGCCCATGGCAGGAAGTGAACTCTCCTGCCTGCAGAGCAGCATGGCTTACAGAAACTCTCTGCTCTTTACCGCCTGGGAGCCACTGCCTATTTCTCACTCAGCACGTGAGCTGCAGGCACTTCCTGAGAGCCGGAGATAAGGGCCAGGCGGAGGCCTCGGGGGCTGAGGCAGTGGGGATTACCCCCCAGGTTTACAGGCTGCAAAGGGATTAGCGCCTCCTGAGCCTGCACAGCCACTCCAATCCCAGCCAGAGGGCTGGCAGTGCTGGCAGGGGCAAGGGCAGGGGCAGGAGTGGGGGCAGAGGCAGGGGCACAGGGCAGGGGCAGGGGCAGAGGGCACAGGGCAGGAGCGGGGGCAGGGATGAGGCAGGGGCAGGGGTACAGGGCAGGGCACTGGGCAGGAGTGGGGGCAGGGATGAGGCAGGGGCACAGGGCAGGGCTCAGGGCAGGGGCAGGGGCAGGGATGAGGCAGGGGCTCAGGGCAGGG